AAAAAAAAAAAGAAAAAGAAAAAGTAAAAAGGTGGTAAGGAGAGAGGCGAAAACAGGTTTAAATGGACCATTTTACCCCTCATTTTTGGAATTTTACTATTTAGTGACATGGATATGGCATTTTGTGTTTATTTATACCTAGCACACAAAACAATCAAATTTAGAATAAAAATTAAAACAAAAATAAAAATGTCTTTCAATATGATCATATAAAAAAAAATTACCCATTACAACACCTTCTATTATGATAGTTTGCACTAAAATTATACTAAAATAGCATTTATGACACTTCTATTGCAATAATTTGCGCTAAAAAACAGTGTCACATATGGACTTTTCTTTACTGTGAACTGCCCAATAGCCGAAAAAACCATTAGATATAGCCTCATGAAACATGTGTTTTTTTTTGGTACAACTCATGAAACATGTGTTGACTAAGGATTAATGGCTAAAGTTTAGGTAGTTTAAATTGGAAAGTTGTGGATTCAAGAAAAAGGAAAAATCTTGGAAAAGAAAAGAAAAAACAAAAGGCAAAATCCCCTCATAAACCCCCTAGAGGCTAACTACCGCATGTGCTCTTAAACTAAAAACAATGTAAATAAGCTTTTAAACTTTTCAAATAATGTAAATTAACCTTTAAATCTCTCAAAAAATATAAATTAACCTTTATTATTAATGGCTCAACCCATATGACCTCATAATGTTTGTTCTTTTCCTTTGCTTGATTCCATTTTTTCATATGAATGTTGACATGGATTAAATGACCTCATAATTAGTAAAAATTCCTTTAAAATAGCCCACATAACCCCTCTTTATCATTTATTGTTTTCGAATTATTTTGGCAGTATTTTTATCGTCTTAGGGGTCTTTTGATCCATATGGAGAAATGAGATTAAGTGAAGGAAAAGAACAGATAGTGTGTTGTCACATGTGCTGGGTTATCAATAATGAGGATTGATTTGTATCTTTTGAAAAATTTAAGAACTAATTTGTATCATTTGAGCAGTTTGAGGGGTTCTTTGCATTGCTTTTTGTTTAAAAACTCACTTGTTAATTTGAGGTAAGTCTGAGAGCTTAGGAGTGGGTTTTGCCAAAACAAAAGTATCAAAAGAGTGTATATCCTGGTCTAGTCAACATATGACAAAGCACAGTGTTTTTGGCCTGGTCTGCCTCTTCTTTTGGCCTGCTGGGTGCCTATTAGGTGCTTTTGTAAAGATTAATGGAGTGTTTAAATTATTTCTCCAAATTCGGTTGATAACTAATATATATATATATATATAAATTAATTGTTACTATTTATGATCTAAAATATCTAAGGTTTCTTCAATTTTTATTTTTTAAAGTACATATTAATAATATAATTATTATATATTTTAATTATTAAATTATATAAACAATAAAAATTAATTTTCATTAATTAATTAAAGTAATACTCATAATATTAATATTAAAATTAATATTAATTTTTTTATTTTTTTTATAAATTTAATAATTAAAAAATAAAATAATTATACCATTAATTTGTCTTCTTATTAAGACATAAGTTAGGAAAACACTATACTTAATTGATGTTTTCAAAACACTAATATAAATACAATGTGTGCTTTTTATGAAATTAAAGAAAATTAACAAGTTTAATAATTAAAATATTAAAAAATAATTAAAATATTAAAATATTTTTAATAACTTAACCCATAAAAGAAAGGCAAAACTATAAGTTAAGCCCCTGAACTAATCCCAGAATGGCTATTAAGCCCCTAGACTTTAATTGATGCAGTTAAGCCCTTGAACTCTGGGATCAAAGCAATTAAACCCTTCTTCTTACACTATTAAGTCCCTAGACTTAAATTTTTAAAATAAATTGCTTAAGAAGAAGGGCTTAATTGATTTGATCCCAGAGTTCAAGGGCTTAACTGCATCAATTAAAGTCTAGGGGCTTAATAGCGATTCTGGGGTTAGTTCAGGGGCTTAACTTATGGTTTTGCCTAAAAGAAATAAGCGAAATGATTGAAAACACGCCACTGCTATCCTCCTTTTTTTTTTTTTAATTAATTTTTTTGGACGTTGACGCCAGTTTAATCAGTCATCGCCCTCGTTTACCGAAGTAATCAATAATACCAGTCTGGCAAAACCGAAAATATCTGTACCTATTACCAAAAAAAAAAAAAAAGAAAATATCTGTACCAATCCTGGAAATTAAGCAGTGTTATTGAATCTTTAAACATTCAATTGTCTCTTCATTTTTGCATCATTAAATTTGCTCCGAAGATGAGTTCAGCAGCGGACGATCAAATCGCCTTTCAATTCCTTCCCCGTTTTCGCGCCTACAAAGATGGACGTGTAGAGAGATTCTTTGGCAGCGACGTGGTTCCGGCTTCAACCGACTCCGGTGACGGTGTGTCCTCTAAAGACGTCAAGATCGACCCAGAAACAGGGGTGTCAGCACGTATATTCATCTCGGCCTCCACGAAACCTGACCAGAAGCTTCCCCTGGTGGTCTATTTCCACGGCGGTGGCTTCTTCATGGGCTCACCGTTCTGTTCTGCCTATCACAACTACGTCTCTCAAATGTCCGCCAAGGCCAACGCCATCGTTGTCTCTGTTGACTTTAGATTAGCTCCCGAGTACCCTATTCCTACAGCTTTCGAAGATTCATGGGCTTCCCTCAAATGGGTGGCTTCACATTGCAACGGCAAAGGTCCGGAGCCATGGCTGAACGGCCACGCTGATTTTGGGCGAGTTTTTCTGGTGGGGGATAGTGCTGGAGGCAATATTGTACACAATATGGCGGTCCAAGCAGGGGATGAAGGGTTAGCCGGAGTGAAATTGCTAGGAATCTGTCCAATTCAACCATTCTTTGGGAGTAAAGACGGTGAGGTGAGTGAGTACTGGAAATTTGTACATCCAACAGCTAGACTCAACGATCCATTGATAACCCCGACTGCGGATTCAAGGCTGTCAAGGATGGGGTGCAGCAGGGTGCTGATTTTTATAGCTGAAAAAGACAATTTGAGAGAGAGGGGTGTGTTTTACTACGAGACATTGAAGGGCAGTGGGTGGAGTGGAGAGGTTGATGTTGTGGAGACGGAAGGAGCGGACCATGCTTTCCAGTTGTTTAACCCAGAAAGCGAGAAGGCTGTGGCCCTTATGAACAAGATAGTTTCTTTTATAAATCAAGAATAAGGTATGCCTTAATTTATGCCTTGTTGTTGGGTTAGCTGCGTCTTTGATGAGAAGTATTTGTACCAATATAATATCTTCTGACTTTTGAGTGTGTGATGCTGTGATCTCTTGTTGTTTTAGAAATTTTGTGGTAATAGTAGTGTAGCTCGACCTTGAAGTTTCATGTCTTGCATCTCATGTCTTCCCTAATGAAAACCTTCTCTTTTCAAATA